TGTAGTTGAGACTGACCTGGAACTCACCATGTAGCCTGGGCTGGTCTAGAACTCACAGTGATCCTCCTGCCTCAGCCTCCCAAGTGCTGGGATTACAAAAAATATACAATAAAAATAAAAAAGAAATTGTTTCTTTAATCAATTTAGAACAAATACAATGATATCTTTGTAGAACATTCTTTTGTATAAGCATTGCTGTTAGTGATCTGGTGATATATGACATTCCGGTGATATTTAGATCCTAATGACCACTAAATATCATTTCTTGTAGGGCCTGTCATTTTCTTTTGCCATCTTTTTGTGCTATGGGTGCTAACAAAATATGCTCCCTGCTTTCCTCATCCACCATGAATGGGCACATGCCCACTGTTTTGTCTGTAATCTCTCTTCTTTGCAGTGTATTACTTTATACCAGTGTTTCTGACAGTGATAGCTAGGAAACCAAAAGAAACACCTGTTTCTGGAAATAATTTAGAGGTGGGAGAACCATAGCAGCTCTAGCCCTACATACTAAATTCTCTGGGATTGGTTTGTGCCTCAATGAAACTGAGCAAATTTCACTTCTGTAGAGATGGAAAGGGAAGAAGACATACCTCATTGCCTTAGAGAATCATGACTAAGTTATTTTGTGAATAAGGTGGTGAACATTCAGAGTAGGTAAATTGAGGGGTTTTTTTGTTTTGTTTTGTTTTTGCTAAAATTGTCCTTCAGATAGCTGTGGTAAAGCCATATTGCAGTACAGTGGGCACCAGGAGATCTCATTCAAACCCCAGGTCTCTACCTATGAGCTGAGCCATCCAGACAGGTCTCCTATTGTCCCAGAGTCTCCCTTTCTCTGTTTGATAATTTAAAAACACTAATTCCTGCCTTCTGGTTATTTTAGGGGTTTAGTAGCAAAACTGTGCATATTTACTTAGCTAACTACTTAATACATGCTTGGTCATTCAAGTTTGTAGGGGTTATGTTAGTTGTTTCATGTTCATGCAGTTGTAATGTTAGCCCAATACATTAAAACATTTCAGAAGACTTGTTTTGTCAATGAGCATATCTCAGTGTTTGTGAAGCATTACTGGATAGACATTATATGTATACCAAGGGATAAGGTACATGGGTGCCATTAATGTTATAAATTTTCAACTGGTCATCAGTCTAATAATTGACAAGATTGAACAATTTTGATAGAAATTTGCCTCATTAATTCTAGATTCTGGCCATACATTGGCACCACCTGAAGTATTGAGAGGAACCAAACCATGCTCAAGCCCTACCCTAGAATAATTACACCAGGATCTCCAGGGTGGGGCAGTGGGATGGATAACAACAGTCAAGAACACCTTATTTTTATGGTTTTCAGGGGGTCAGAGTCCACTCAGAAAAGAGACTGAATTGCTTAACCGATTGGCTACTTATGTGTCAAAGAGTCGCAACTAAGCTATCAGTGAACATTATAAAAGCTTTGGATTTCAAGCTCACAGTTGTTTCAGTAAGCAAATAAAAGCTTCAATGGATCCAGTTGTGGTCCTGGTGCTTGGTCTCTCCTGTCTGCTGCTCTTTTCACTCTGGAGACAGAGCTCTGGGAGAAGGAAGCTCCCTCCTGGCCCTACTCCTCTTCCAATTATTGGAAATATTCTGCAGATAGATATTAGGGACATCAGCAAGTCCTTCACTGATGTAAGTATGCTTCATGTTACTGCATAGGGAAACTAACTCCAACTTTTAATAAAATAAGTTCCTGGAGGCAAAAATATTAAACCATGCTATCATATGGCAAATACTTCCTGTGGATTATTATTTTTGGTGTGTCATCACAAATAGTGGGATGATACAATGCATTTTGTCAGTATGGAAAGAATTAAGTTGAATGGTAGAATCAAATTAATAAAATGCTGCTACCCTTTCTGGTTTCAGTTATTTGCTATTATTTTTTTCCTGAGGTGAATGGTAATAAAAGTGGTTTCAGTTGAGGTATTATTCCAGAAGCCATTTACTTTATGGGCTGTATATTTTTGCTTAGCCATGATAGTTAAAGTTTTCAAAGAAGCCAGTTATGTCTGATGTGAAGGAACTATGGGATTGCAATACATATATATGAGAGAGAGAGAGAGAGAGAGAGAGAGAGAGAGAGAGAGAGGTTTATTTAAGTGATATGAGAATGTTTTTAGGTTCTTCACAGAGCTCTTGTCTGTGACCTATAAATGTACAGCATGCAGCATACTTCTGTTGCTGCTATTTGGTATGATTTTCTTCCCTATTTCTAGTTTTCCAAAGTGTATGGCCCCGTGTTCACTCTGTATTTTGGCATGAAGCCCACTGTGGTGGTGCATGGATATGAAGCTGTGAAGGAAGCCCTGGATGACCTTGGAGAGGAGTTTTCTGGAAGAGGCAGTTTTTCTATTGTTGAAAAAACAAATACTGTCCAAGGCAAGTGTGCAGGCGAATACATGTACATGTGTATTTGTTGGGCAGTGGTCATGGGACGAGACTAGAAGAGCTCCTAAGGTGAATCGTGGTCTTCTTGGTGGCTGCCTCATGTCACTTTCCTCTTGCTTGCCTGGGATCTGCCTTCTAGTTTCTATTTCCCATTCTGATAGGAATCATTTTCAGCAATGGAACAAAATGGAAGGAGATTCGGCGTTTCTCGCTGATGACCCTGAGGAATTTTGGGATGGGGAAGAGAAGCATTGAGGACCGCGTTCAAGAAGAAGCATCCTGCCTTGTGGAAGAATTAAGAAAAACCAATGGTGGGTGCCTCTTTATATCACTGACCTTCACAGGCTGCACTTTTCTCTAATGATGTCCTTCTAGATCTTGCAGTGTGGCCAGATATTTTATTTTGGATGGAGGTGGTCAGTCCTCATGTGGAGGGGAATGATATAAAGTAAGAGCCATAGGAACGTTTGTGTACCTGTCTTTGTTGTGTTTGTACACAATGACAGTGCATATAGTATGGATAAAACTCTAATTTAATTGTATTATTTCCTGTTTACTTGTTTTCAAATCAGTATATGATGAAGGTAGGAGGTTTTGATCCTTGTTTAAAACAACGTTAAAGAGCAACTTCTTTTTCCATAGTGATATTGGCTAAAATTTACCAGGGAATGCTTGTCAAATGGACTTGGTTTAATGATGTCATCATTTCTTTTGAAGCAGGAAAAAGTGACATGTGCTGTCATTTAATTGTCCATATTTTTTATCTTCCTTAATTTCACATTTGGGTTTGTTTTAAGGCTTGTGCCTTCAATTTCTGCCAGTAGTTATTCAAATTTTTCCTAGGTATTTATTAGTGAAACCCTCAATGATTGTGTTTTTCTTGTAAACATCAACTATCAGCTGTTTTAACTAACCACTACTATATTATTTTACATATCTTGAGTAAATACATACTATGACAAAATTGTACACCTATACAAGCACTGATGTAGAAAATAATTTTTAAACTGGATTTCAGATATTAGTAACTGTTTAGCCTGATCTCCATGACTGTAAATTGGCTTTGTTGTTAACTTTCCACACATTTCCCTTTATTTGCATATTAATCATGTTTTTTATTTTCTATCTTTTATAATCATTTGGCATCATGGGCGCCTGCACATGTAGAGAGGAACTCTCAGTCTGAGAGCTAGCTAATTCTTCGAAAAGAAAGCATGCCTTTAATGCACAAACCACCTCATCGGTAGTTCATACCTCCAACTGTCTCCTTTATCAAATTCTCACATATCATTCTTGAACTTCTGCCTTAAATCATCCCAGCCCCAGGAATGTGAAAAGTAAGGATGGTGATGCTAACCAAAGCCTAATGAAATGATTCAAACTACCCTATCCAATGAGGCCTACTCAGTGTACATATCCTCCTTCACACTGTCATGTATAGACCCCAGTGGTATTTCTGTTGCATGATTTCCCTTTGCTCCTTCTGCCCTTTGGGCAACCCTGGTGCTTCATCTTGTGGCTCTGCCTGGAATAGCATGTCTCTTTGTTTTGAGAATTCTGAGCAACCATTAATCTGTTTAATGGTTTTCATCTTTTGATTGTTGGCCTCACCTTGAATTAAAAACAAACTCCAAGTGCATCTTTTTAAAAATAAATTAACTTTATCAGTTCATAAAGTTTTTATTTATTTTGTTTCCTCATTGAGTTTATTGGTACATTTTAGGTATACGGTGCACTTACATTCATTATTGGGATCCTGTACCTTTACACGACAGGTCTTGGTTCTCATTTTTTTGCCTTATCCCGGGCCCTCCCTTCAAAAAAACTCTGCCAAAAGACTTCTAGACTTAATTGACAGATTCAGTAGAGTAGCCAGATACAAGGTCAACACTCAAAAATCAATAGCCTTCTTGTACACAAATAACAGACTCACTACGGGAGAAATTAAATTAGGGAAACAATTCCTTTCACAATAACATCAAAAAAGTGAAATATCTAGGAATCAATCTAACGAAGGAGACAAAAGACCTCTATACTGAAGACTACAGTACTTTGAAAAAAAGAGATCAAATAGGATTATAAGAAAATGGAAAGACATCCCTTGATTCTGGGTAGGAAAAACCAACATAGTGAAAATGGCCATGCTTCCAAAACTTCTATACAGATTCAATGCAATCCCTGTTGAAATCCCAACAGTATACTTCACAGAAGTAGAGAAAACAATCCAAAAATTCATTTGGAACCAGAACAGACCTAGAAGAGCAAAACCATTCTAGACACCAGAGACATGGCAGAAGATTATCACAATTCTGAACCACTGTGATAAAGACAGCATGGTACTGGCAAAGAAACAGACCCAAGGATCAGTGAAATAGATTAGAAGATAAAGAAACAACATCAGGCATCTCTGACAAAGGAGCCAACCATCCCCAGTGGAGGAAAGATAGCATCTTTAATAAATGGTGCTGGAGGGGGCCAAGGATGGCTCAGAGGTTCCGCTGCCTGCCTCCCAAACACAGGGTCCTGAGTTCAATCTCCAATACATAATAATAATAATAATAATAATAATAATAATAATAATAATAAAAATGGTGCTGGAAAAACTGGCTTTCAACTTGCCAAAGATTAAAACTAGATGCCTATCTTTCAATATGCACTAAACTAAATCCAAGTGGGTTAAAGATCTAAATATCAAAACAGAAAAACTAAGCTTGCTGGAAGATAAATTAGTTAGAACTCTCAAAGACATTGGCATAGGAAAAGACTTTATGAACAAATCATCAGCAGCATGAGCACATGCACAAAGAATCAACAACTGGGATCTCCTTGTATTAAAAAGTTTTTGCAGTGCAAGAGAAACCACCAACAGAGCTAAGAGACAACCTACAATGCAGGAAAAAAATTTTAGCAGCTACTCCTCAGACAAAGGACTATTATCTTGGACTATACAAAGACCTAAAAAAATCAGACCCCCAAATTCCAAGACCTGATTAAAAAATGGACACCTGAAAAGAACAGACAGTTCTCAGACAAAGAAGTAAAAGCAGCAAATAAATACATGGAAAAAATGTTCAACATCACTGGTCATTCAAGAGATGCAGATGAAAACAACACTGAGATTCCACCTCACCCCAGAAAGAATGGCTGCTATTAAGAAATAAACCAATAACAAATGCTGGCAGGGCTGTGTGGGGAACAAACCCTTCTCCATTTTTGGTGGGAGTACAGACACGTGCAACCACTGTGGAATATGGAGATACCTCAGAGAACTTGGATTAGAGGTTCCATTTGATCCAGGCTTCCCTCTGCTGGGTATCTTTCCAAAAGAATTAAAAGAATCATAACACAGTGATACATATGCACCCATGTTTATAGGGGCACAGTTTTTAATAGCTAAAACTTTGAAACAGCCCAATTGCTCATCAGTTGGAGAATGGATAAAGAAGATGTGGTTTTTCTATAAAATGAAGTACTACTCAGTCATAAAGAATGAGAAACTAGAGACATTTAGAGCTAAATGGATGCACATTAAGGCTGTACTCCTAAGTGAAATAAATAGGACACACTTGAGTAAAGACTGAATGGTTTCTCTGGTGTGAAAAACTAAAAGTATAAATAAAGTTCAAATAGTATAATTGATAGTGTGAAATAGGAAGAAAATGGCTAAAGGGGAAGTGGGAAGGGAAGGGGAAAGAAAATAAGGGAATATTTTTAAAATGTGAAAAAGGAAAAAATAGAAATAAAGTTTTTGTAAATAGGAAAGGGTGAAGGGGGTGAAGGGAGGGCAGGGACAAGGGGAAAAAATAAGAACCAAGACCTGTCATGTAGAGGTACAAGATCCCAATGGTAAATGTAACTATAGTGTTTGTTTGAAATGTGCCAATAAACTTGATGGGGATAGAAAGAAATAAAGAAATAGAATATGTTTATCAATTTAATCTGTTGTGTCTCCCTTGTCTGTGATTCAAATTTGAAATGATTTATTTCATTTTGGCAAACAAATCTATCTTATAATAATTTATCATTTGTTTTTCTTTTCATATGGCACAAATATGGCATGGCTTTTGACTTCTCCATTTGTTTCATCAAGTACTTGTGTTTCCTGCACTCTCTCTTTAGTCTTTCTCTTTGCTTTCCACAGAAATGTGGTTCTGAACTAATAACTTGAATTTTGAGGTGGTTTAAAAACTGGTCACTTCATTATTTTCTTTTGGCCTCCAAAACAACATGGACCTTGGGTAAGAAATATATACACAAAGATAGTGATGTGTATGTGAGGCAGTGAATCTTAAAAGCAGATTTGCAAAATGATTATCAAACAAGCTACAATAGAATGGTCAAGTGAAATGTAGAAGAAAAAGTAATGTTGATTTTTAGCATGTAAGTGTAATTTCTATAAGGTGAGCCCAATTTCAGTATTGCTTTAGAGACTAAAATTACAATTGTTAGTTCAAAGACACAGACTTTTATAAGTGTATTATAACAGTCTTTTAAAAATATTTCCACTTCTTTAGGTTCATCCTGTGATCCTACCTTGATCCTGGGCTGTGCTCCCTGCAATGTGATATGCTCCATTATCTTCCAGAAACGTTTTGATTATAAAGATGAGAATTTTCTTATCTTGATGGAAAAATTCAATGAAAACTTCAAGATTTTGAACTCCCCATGGATGCAGGTGAGACCAAGATCTTTTCCTAATAAAGCCTTTGTACCAATTTCTCTGAAAAGTTCAAAATTCTACATTAGTGTCCACTTCTCAAACATTTACTTCAGATAGATTGGTTTATGAAATTTTGCCTGGGCCATAAGATTCCTTCTTGTTCTCTCTCTCTCTTTCTCTCTCTCCCTCTCTCTCTCTCTGTCTCTCTCTCTCTGTCTCTCTCTCTCGACTTTTAATTTGCTTTGGGCCTGCTTGACTGCCCTCCCTCCCTCCTTCCCTCCCTCTCTTTCCTTCTGCAGGCTATAGCTATCTGCAATGACTTCTCTCAAATATTCAAAAAATGTTTATTCATTGTGAGATGTGGTCTCTGAACCCTCTGTTCCTTTTGCTTATTATGTGCAGCAAGATTTGACAAAGACTTCCTTGATACAGCAATGTGGGAGACTATAGAAGGAAGCAAGGAAGGAAAGGAGGGAGAACACAAAGCAGGAGGAAATTTCCTCCAGGTTGGCTGTGGCAGGCACTGCTTGTCATAGCCTTTACTTGCTGTTAAACAGTCTAGAATTGAGCAGAGGTGAAAGCTTATGTTCTTTTCAGGTCCTTTCTTAGCCTTTGTCTTTTCCTGAGCAGGTTTCTAGCTTTTTAAATTAATCAGTAGGCGAGTGTGTGGGCACTTTTGGGTGTGTTAATTTTCCAAAAATACTCTTCTCAGCTTTACTTCCCAGGGTTTCAGTGTTCTACCATGTGCCCTAACTAAACTCATTTGTTTCAGGTGTCCCTGGCTTGTTAGTGGCACTGTAGGGTTTGCGATATTGCCCACTGCTTTCCCCCAGTGAGTGGTTACACAAAGACAAGTGCCTTGCTTCAGTAGCTCCAGGGGTCCTCAGCAAGGTGAGAACAGAGAAGCATAATCTCTGTTCTCTGGAACCCAGAACATTGCCCTTGTCAAATCCTAGGTCAAGCCAAGGAGGAAGACGGGACAAGAACAAAAGCATTGCCACAAAATTTTTCTACCACTTTTGTTGCCCACCTTCCTTTGAAAACTTTCTCTCTTTTTTTTAATTAGCACATGTTCGGACCACATAATGTTCACATTCCTTGTGTGGAGTTGGCCAATTCACCTTTTCATTCAGCTTTCTTTTTGTTGTTGTGAACTTTGACTGTTTTTCAAAGTTCTGGTAAAGTTGATTATGACAGTTTTTGCTTGATGTTTTTTGAAAATTTTGGGCAAGAATGGGCTGTCTATTGTGCCAACTGTGAGATGAAAGTTTGGACACCACAGTCCTGTCCAGATCTTATGCATTGGTCAGGGATTTCCCTGCCAAGCTCCACCCTCAAGCAGTTCTTGGTGACTGCTCAGAAGGACACCTATGGAGCTTTTATTGAAAGTTTCCATTGCCCAGAGGCTTGTCTGCCAATCAACAGTTGGAGACTTCATGACATTAACTGGCAGAAAGACCCTACTTTAGGACATCAACAATAATAATGTTTGGGCACACAGACACTCCCGGAATCTCTAAACAGTGTGGGTTGTTTGATCCTTCCACTAAGGTCCCAGATGAGAAAGTAACAGGGTTAGGGTGACAGAATGACTGGCTTTTAGAGTGTATTATGCATAGCTGCGTATCACTGCAAGGCCCTCTGTTGTGCTAGCACATCCTACACTTTTCCTTGAATACAGTTTTATGAATGGTAATAATTTAATCTCTCTGGTGAACATACCCATGAAATATTGACTTGGGTTTTGTAGTATTTTTGCAATCCTCTCAGTTATAAAAATTTTGACTTTATCTTGATTGCTAGGAGTAGAAATAGCAGGGAGTGGCTCTGTATTCTATATAGGACTTCCTGAACTTCCTTAACCTCTGTCTTCATCTATAAAATGTTAATCACAGCAACTCATGTTATTCTATATTTCAAGCTTGAAAGTAAAGAGAAATGGTATGGAAATGTCTTAATATAGAAATGTAAATATTCCTACACAATATATGAAATTCTTATCGTCTTAGACCATATAGTTTGCTCACTTAAAACTATCAACATAGGTGACTTCTTTCTATGTTTAATAAAATGCTTTGCTCAAAATTTTAAAACACATGAAAAAATTGAGACTGCTTTTTATTCACTATACTTTTATATATTTTTAATTTTTTAACTTTAATCTTTTAAAAAATTAGCACTATACATTATTGCAGTACATACATTTTACATTCCTGTGTGGAGCTTGTACATGTACATAATGCATCTTCATTCCATTTTTCCTACTTTTCCCAGTACCCAGTTCTCCAGGAACATGCCACAGTATTGTTAATGACCCCAAAGAAACCCATATATTGGCATCCTGAGCAAATCAATTAATAACAACAGCTATGTCACCTTGGTTATAGTAGTAATATCAGTGTCAGTTATAGTATCAAATACAAGCCAAGGATTGATAAACCCTAAGAACCAATAATGTACCAACCTTAACTATACAGAAGAGATATATAATCACAGTGTGGATACTAAGGCAAACAAACACTAACACAAAACAAATATTGACATGCTATTGACCTACAATAAGAATCTACTAATGAAACATCTTCTACAAACAATAAAGTTAGCTCTCCAGAGGCTCGTAATGCTTACTAGTATACTAGTATACACCAGGAGACCAGAGAGGTGGGAAAAGTGATAAGGGAGCTCTACTGAGGTGTAAAAGGAATTCAGTGTATTAGGGAACAGTTGAGGAAAAATCAAGTGAGTAAAGGAAGAAAAAATATAAACAGCAAAATACAAGAAATGAAAGATGAGGAAGAGAAAAAAGTTAAAATGGAAAAAGAGAAAAGGAGAGAAAAGAACATTTAAAAAATGGGTGAAAAACTATAAACCTCCAAGAAACCTGATAAATGAAAGACAAACATAATAAGTAGAAAATTCTAGAAAAGATTGAATCAAAGAAAAAATTTCTATTTTGGCGCGAATACCGAGGATCAAACTCGGGTCCTTGTGCTTGCAAGGCAGGCAACAGAACCACTGAGCTAAATCCCTGGCCCCAAAGTTTATATTTTTGAATGAGAAGTTTCTTTCAAAGACCTGCTTTTGGGGCCAGTTGGTCTTGATTTTTCTCTGCCTAGTTTCGGGGCTTATGGGTTTTTGATGTGCCATCCTTGCACCGGAGGCCATTCTGTTCATCCCTAATTGTTTTACTGTCACATGATGTTGTGTGTCTTTGTTCCTATTGGTAGATAGGAAGCACCATTGGCCCTCTGGTGTCTGCTGAATATAGAATGCATGGTAAGGGTTCAAGTGGACTCTTGGTCTCAGTGTCAACAATCACAGGGTCTGGTTCCTTTGTCTCTCCCTGAATGTTGTCCTTGGCCAGGATCAGGTTAGTTGGTTTAGTTCTTGCCTCTGCTCCCCTGTGCCAAGAGGAAGTAAAATGTAGAGCATATTTGGAGTTGGTGGATGTTTGCACCTTGCATAAGAATGAGGGTAGCAGTGCATTTCCAAATCGGGCCTGCTTGCTCACATAGGGGGCACCCTGCATCCAGCACAGGTCTGCTTGCTTGTGTAGGTGGATGGTCACTACACATTGTAGCTTGGAGCTGCTTTGTAGTGGGGTGGGTGCCATGCATTTGCTGGGCCTGTTGCTCACACTGGGGAAGAGGCACCATGCATCTGCATGGGCCTGCCTATTTAAATTAGTGGAAGTTTGCTGAGTGTTTCAATTATGACTAGGTATTGTCATGTGTAATGCATGAGCTCAACATATGTTTCTAATTTTTAACTTTTTTATTATAAAGAATTTTGAACATATTCAAAGTAGTTAAGCTAGTGCAATAAGTGCCCATATAGTCATAACTTAACCACCACATAAGCCAATCCACAGAACAATCCCCCTCCATGTTATATTAATGAATATCCCACACTTCATATCACTTACATTTGATCCATAAGCTCTTTTTTCAACAAAACCAAAATACACTGTCACCCTAAAAACATCAATAATCTCTTAATATCAAATAGCCAATCTGTGTTAGTATTACCATATTTGTGAATGCAATAAATCATTTTTTGACATTATGGGGATGCATACATTTCTAATTCAATAGTTTTCTTAAAATATAGGGTCTCACTTTGTTGTTAAGGCTGGTTTTGAACCTTGTGCTTAAGCAATTCTCCCACCACAGCCCACAGTCTCCTGATTTTTTGGGATTACAGGTTTGCATCACCACATTGGGCCTAATGAATATTTTCCAATATTTAAGGTCTACAATATTTTCCCGGCTTTCATTGATTATCTCCCAGGAAGTCACAAAAAAGTACTTAAAAATTTTGCTCATATAAAAACTTACATTTTGAAGAAAATCAAAGAGCACCAAGAATCCTTGGACATCCACAATCCTCGTGACTTCATTGATTGTTTCCTGATCAGAATGGAACAGGTAAAAATAGTATTTTCTTGCACTTTGAGGTTCATTGGTAAGCTCTGTACTTCCTAAGAATGTGTAACTGGTCATCCATGAAACACTCCTTAAGCGCCTTAGTACTTATTGTGTGCATGCATTTGTAGTAAGCATCAGAATCTTTAAACAATTAGAACATACGGTCTATTTTTACATGGTAATATTCTGGTAAAAGGCAAATTGCATGAGATTTTAGCCACAGCGGGCCATTCTCTTCCTTCTTTGAAAAGGCAACAGTAGCATCTAAAGTGGTGGAGGAGGGGAGGGGCGCCACATCGACTGGCTGCACTCTTGTGGGAATGGGGAGGGGCAGCTTGATCGCCAGGGAAGACACTGCTTGAATGCCAGGGAGGGTATGGAAGAAACTGTTCTAGTTCATGGTCGGGGAGGGGTAAGGGAGAACAAAAGTGGGGAGCAGCCACTGGTCAAGCTGTGCTCCCTGTTCTGGCAGCAGGAGAAAAATGAAAAAGTCAGGCTCTTGTCGTCTGTCTAAATAGTATGCAGGGGATTATTTCACTTCTTCTGTTTTGATTTAAAAATGCTTTATGGCCTAAGTTATGCTCTACTTTAGAAAAAGTTACGTGTGTATGAGAAAAATGTATATTCTGTTGTTGAAGGAGGCATTGTAGATATCTGTTTAGTTCACTTGTTCATTGGTGTAGTTTAACTCTGATGTTTCCTTGTTTTCTGTCTGGTTGACCTAGCCAGCTGCACAAGCGAGGTATTGAAACCCACTATGATGGTGTTAATGTGTATCTCTGTCCTTTAAAGTCCAGTAGTTTTTGTTTTAAGAATCTGGGTACCCTGACGTTTGGTGTAATAGATATCTACAACTGTTATCGCTTCCTGTTGAATTGTTCCCCTTACAATTCATTTATGTAGTGGCCTTCGTTGTCATTACTTCCATTGTCATGTATGTGTTTTGTGTAACAAGAAGGAAAGAGAAAATGGCATCAGCAGTTTTCTTCTGTTATATCATCGACATGAAATATTTTTCACGGCTAACGTAACTGCAATAAACCCACAAAATGGAATTTTGAAACAATCAGGTCTTTGTAAATAGGGAGGGTGAAAATGTTGAAGGAAGGCAAGGGAATGGCGAAAAAATAACCAAGATATATCGTGTAGAGGTACAAATCCCCCCTCAAAAAAGGTACAAATTCCCAGTGATAAATGTCATCTATTGTATACCTAAAATGTACCAATAAACTTAATTAACTAAAGTATCAAATAGAAAAAAAAAAAGAAGGGATGTAGGAAATGAAGATTGGCTCAGCCCATTCACATTTTGCCATACAATGAGGTCTTATAATATTTTGTTTGTTTGTTTGTTTGCTTTGTACTAAGGATTGAACTCAGGATCTTGTGTTTGCGAGGCAGGCACAGTCACCACTGAGCTAAAATCCCCAGCCCCTGTAGTGTTATAATATTAATAACATAGTGTCTATTTTTAACTTTTGTTTATTTTTTAACTCCTTGTGTTATTTTGTAATTTAATATGATGGTAACTAATAATTAAATGATAAAAATTTTAGGAAAAGCACAGTCAGCATTCTGAATTTACTATTGAAAGCTTGATGGCCACTGTAACTGACCTGTTTATAGCTGGAACCGAAACAACAAGCACCACCCTGAGATATGGACTCTTGCTTCTGCTAAAGTACCCAGAGATCACAGGTATGACAATAGAGGTAGTTGAAGAACTGCTAAAGTCCAAACTTTTCTCCTAGTCTTAATTATTAAAATTTGTGTAATATTAGCTGTTATTCCCACAAATATGATGAAAGAATAAAAATGAAACAAATTTTAACAATAGAGGAAAATGAATGAGAGAAGTGAGGTATGAGCAAGAGCAAAAGCATCAAACCTCTGTATCTTGTTGACAAAATACACTCAGTCTGGATTTCATAGAAGGGGATTGCTGAAAGCACAGGTAAATTAATTGGGCTAGAGTTTTATGTTTGATTTTAAAAGAAAAGAGACTTTGAATAGTAGTTATGTTCTGAAAACAGGAGGCTTTCCCTGACCAGGCACCCTATACTTGTCCATTTATCAGGTAACTCTTTTCACCTAAAGGAAGGAGAGGCTCTCTCTCTAGAAAAACTGAACATTGGAGCCCTATTCAGGGACACAAAGAGACAGGGAAAGAATATGTTTCAGTGATGAAAGTAAGGGTTAAGTAAGAGTCCACTCACTTCCAAGGCCATTAGCTCTTTTCTCCATCTTGTTCCTGAAATTCAGCAGCCAGTGTCAACGCCAGAGAATGAGTAGTTCTAGTAGAAGCACCTCTTTTTCTGCAATCTAGAAAGAAAATTCTAACCAATTGATAAACAAAGTGAAAGAAATGAAAACATTCATCCCATGACATAGAATTATGGAGTTTTATTATTTTTTATTTTTATTTGTTTGTTTATTTATTTGTTTGTTTGTTTGCCTGAGATTGAACTCAGGAATTTGTGCTTGCAAGGCAGGCAGCGGAACCACTGAGCTAAATCCCCAGACACACACCCGCAACTCTGGAGTTTTAGAACCAGATTTAAAGCAGAAAATCAGTGAAACTTTAGGGCATAAATCAGGCCCCTTATGAAGAGTAAGAATAAGAATGGTCATGCAGTTCTCAAGAACAGCTGTAATCTTGTGTGTTCATAGACAAAGGATATTGTTGTACTTAGAAGTTGTCTCTGTTTTTTCTTTTTTAGAAGACACTAAAAGATGTGCTCTATCTGAATGTCTGAAACAAAGGTAGACAAAGTCATGGATTCCAGGAATCAGGCAAGCTCATTGAGGAGTATGAGTGTCAGGAAGGTCATTGGGCACCATGACTGGAAGATACCACATAAAAAATTGAGGCGTGAGGGAAGACACCAAAAACAAAACAGAAATGGTCAATTATTTGCTCCTTTTAGTAATAGAAAGTTATTCCCAGAAGTTTGAAACATATGTGGGCATTTGCAATAATTCTATACTCACATCTAAAAGTTAGGAATTGAAATAGACACTTTTAAGTCTGAAAATCAAGTATAATTCCAGGTGTTTTATATGTGAACAATATATCTGAAGTCATATTGATATATACAGTGAATACTGCTGTAATATGAATTATGATATAATTACATTGCAAAACATGGTGTGACAGAAAGTGTGTATTCGTGTGTGTCTGTCTGTCTGTCTGTATATTTTGTTTGAGGTGGTGATGGAGATGTAAGTTCTCATCACCATTTGTAGGAAGATCTAGAAACTGACCAAAAATAGTACTATCAAGTAATAGAAATAGTCATTATTTATAAATGTGAACCTGAATTGTAGAAGAAATTTCTAGAATATTACAGTGAGTGACACTGGGAAGTGTGAGAATGAGAAATGTGCCACTGCAAATTGCAAATAAACACACACAACACACACAAACCCATCCATAATACATATCTGTTCGTAAGATTCAATTTCTTTTGCTGGAGCACTTCAATCTTTTTTTTTTTTGGTTTTTGGGGTTTTTTGAGACAGGGTCTCACTCTGTAGTTGAGACTGACCTGGAACTCACTATGTAGCCCAGGCTGGTCTCAAACTCATAGCAATCCTCCTGCCTCAGCCTCCCGAGTGCTGGGATTACAGGCGTGTGCCACCATACCCGGCCAATCTTTATTGTTTATGATTATTTGGGCAACATATATGTATATGTACAAAATAACTACTGTCAGAATCTTCTTTTATAATTTCATATGATCTACAAAAACAATAGCAAAATAGGTCACTAGTACTGTATACAAATAAAACTGATTAAACAGTTGTAAAGATCGGTATTTTACAGTGTTATGGACTATTCACCTGTTGTGAGAGAACATCTTGATCTACTGATGGTGGTGATGACTGTGCTGATTCTAATTGCAAAATGAGAAATTAACTGAGTAATTATAAGTACCACATATAATTCTCAATAGAAGCATGATGTGGAGCTTAAAGACAGGGCATTGTTCCACAAGGGTGAAGAGGGCTTTCTTCTTTTCTACAAAAAGTGGTATCTTTGGGACTGGGGATTTAGCTCAATGGTGCCGCCACCTGCCTTACAAGGACAAGGGCCTGAGTTCAATCTCTGATACCAAAAAAAAAAAAAAAAAAAAAAAAAAGTGGTATCTTTAACTCTAAAGCTATTAAATTTCCAGGGTATGAAAATCACTTGCAATATTAGATAAAACAGATTTTCTTTCTTTTCAAAAACCTGTGATAGACTTTTAAAAGTTCAGTTTGGTTGAAAAAGTAAAAAATTACTATCCTCCATTTGGATTTTCATGAGTTAAATCTCGAATTGAATTTGGACCATTAAGGACCATCATTACTTTTATATGAAATTAATATGTTTTTCATTTTTCTTTTGGAATGGACAGTAATTTCTGGAATCCATATGTATAAGATATTTAGATATTGAAATATTTCATTGTGTTTATCTGTGTGGATGATCATGTACAGAAATATCTAGTTACATGCAGACTTAAGTTAGGTTGTAGGAGAGTAATGTGTGCACATAACATGGCAGTTATCTCTTTAATTCTAGGTGTATTGATAACCTTGTGATGCTGTGGGCACACGTTCATCATGCTTCATGTAGGCCTGCATTGCTATGGCAATTGTGCCTTTTTCTCTTATTTAGCATTTCTTTATTGTGTCTTATCAGCAAAAGTACAAGAAGAGATTGACCGTGTGATTGGCCGACACCGGAGCCCCTGCATGCAGGACAGGAGTCACATGCCCTACACAGATGCCATGGTGCATGAGATCCAGAGGTACATTAACCTCATTCCAAACAACGTACCGCATGCAGCAACCTGTAACCTCAGATTCAGAAACTACTTCATTCCCAAGGTAAGCTTGTTTCTGTTACACTGCACTTCGGTGCTCTTGTAGTTCCCAAATTCACACTATGGCTCCAATCCTCTCCCAACACAAGCTAATATAAGTACAAAATGCATATGTGTGTCAGCTTGATAGGCTTTGTGCTGTTTTGAGTTTGAAGTTTAAAAGTTTATAGTGTGTTTTGATAACTGGCATTTTTCAAATTTGTTCTGCTTTAATAATTGTTTTCTGGCTCTTGCTAGTTTTTTGTATCTCCAAATAAATGTTTAAAGTCCAGCTTGTCAATTTCTCAAGAGACCGTGCTGAGATTATTATCAGGGTATATTAAATATATAGATCAGTTTGGAAATTAGTGATGTCTTGACATGTTAAATCTTTCATTCTATGGACACGGTTATGTTTTCAACTTACATGTTTTTTAATTTTCTTGGTGTTTTGTTTTCAATATAGTAGTTTGCACATGTATTTTTTTTCTAAATAAATTAGATGTTTGAATTTATTGTAAATGTTTACTTTTTAATTTGCTCTTTTTAATATGCCCACATGAAAGTATACTTTGTTATTTTTATGACTTTATCCCCAAAAACCTTGCTAAATTCACTTAACATAGTAGTTTGCTGGTTTATTTTTCTGTGTGCATAATTCTGTTACACAGTTTAATACTTGTTTTACTTATTATTTTACAACTCATAAATACTTTATTATTTATTTATTCAAGTATTTAAACATTTTTAAACTGATACATACAACTATAAAAATTGGAGTACATTACTGGGGGGTAATGTGTGATGTTCAGATGCATACACACATTGTGTGATGTTTAAAACAGTTTTAAAATATCTACAGGATGTCTGGACTAGAATCAAATAAAAACAGATGAAGGATTTAGATAGAGGAACAGAAACATGAATCTGCTGGAAGAAATAAGGGGATTATATCAAATAAAAATGCTTCTACACAGCAAAGGAAGCAACCAAAAGAATGAAAAGACAAATTACAGAATGGGATAATATTTTTCCAGCTACTCCCCAGAGGACTAATATCTAGAACACAAAAAACCAATGCTAATGTATATGTACGTGTCCAAAAATTTGCTCATTTCTTCTAGATTATTAAGCTTGCTCTATGGTCCGATAATATGTTGGGATAATTTTAATTATTTTGTATTTAAGCAAGCTTAATGGCTTTGTTGCAGACTCCAAGAGACAGGAGAGACCAATGGGAACAGAAGGATTTATTTAGGTGTGCACCACCTTTCAGTCAGATTTCTGTCCAAAAAAGACTGAGTGTTAAACAAAGAAAAGATGTAGCTAGTGAGTTTACAGATACAGGACAAGGGAACACAGTTTTGTAATTTATCCTTGAAGAAGACAGAGCCTTGTGAATCTTCTGAGAACAAGATGACATAAACTTGTTCACAAGACATAGTTGCCAATTTTATCTGTACCAGAGTTATAGCTACAGGGGAATGGGATGAGGGATGTAATCCTGGGAAGGGACTGAGCAAGGATGGGAAAAACTCATTTTCTTTTAAGTCCTGCTTTAGCTTATCATGTGGCCTATTTTGGAGAAAGTTCTGTGCTGCTGAGAAGAATGTGTATTCTGTTGTTGTTGCATGCAACACTCTGTAAATATCTACTAAGTCCATTTCAACTCTGTCTTAATTACTTTTCTTGTTGCTGGGACAAAATACCCAACACCCACAAGTTAAGGGAGGAAAGTTTTATTTAGCTCAGTTTGTAGAGGGTTCAGTCCCTAATTGGATGACTCCAAGATAAGATGGCCTGGCAGATAGGAAATGCAGAGGAGAAAAAGTTCGTGGTGGGCAGAATGTGGTAAAGCAAGCAAGTAACCTTAACAGCAATTTTCTGCCCCCTTTATATTGTATCTAGGCTACCAGGATTAGGGTGGTGCCAAACTGAACAGTGGACTGATTTTAGAAATTACATACCCTTAATCCCAGCATCACACACTCTAAATCCAGCCTCCTCTGAAAAAGCCCCACCTATGACTGCATGAGGTTTTGGGAGGACATCTAGATACAAGCCATATCTAGATACAGATACAAACTCTGATAGTTTTTTTTAATAGTTTATTAGTACATATACATAATATTTACATTCCTTGCGGGAACTTGGTACACATACATAACACATCTTTTTTTAATCTTTCTCTCCTTCCCTCCCTCTCCTCTCCACTCTCCATCTACCCTTGATCCTCTTCCCCTTTTTTTTTCATACTTGTTTGTAATACATAATGTTTATATTCCTTGAGTGGAATTGGTACATGTACATGACACATCCCAGTTCTTTGTCCCCAAAAATTTAAAGACATAATATTATAGAGATACACGTGTAGATAGCAGCACAATTCATAATAGGTAAATCTTGGTGCTGATATGTCCACCAACAGAAGAATGGATAAAGAAAATGTAGTATTTATACACCAGAGGGTACTACCTTGTCATAAAGATAAACTTCAGTCATTTGTAAGAATATGGATGCACTTTGAGACCAAAAAACAAGTGAAAAAAATCAGACACATAGGGCCAGGCTTTCAGCTCAGTGGTTCTCCTTCCTGCCTTGCAAGTGGAAGGTTATGAGTTTGACCCTCAGTAAACCCCCAACCCCGCCAAAAATCAGACACACCATCTTAAATATCACATTTTTCTCTTCCATGAGAAACCCAGAGCAAAAATAAAGAGCAAGGGGCCGGAGATTTAACTCAGTGGTGCCATGCCTGCCTTGCAAGCACAGGATCCTGAGATTGATTCATGATAACATGAGAAAAAAACTAAATAGCAAAATAAAATACAAATAATAGAATGTAGGGAAACAGATCATTCTCAAGGGAGAAGGAGATCAAGAAATGCAGGGAAGCACGCCTGCTCCCCACCCATCCGCCATCGCTCAAGCGCTCAGAGGTAGCCAGGCCCCGATCCACCGCCGGAAGGAGAACCACGCCAGCTCCCAACCCAGCCGCCATCGCTCAAACACCGGGAAGGTAGCTGCGCGGGTGCCCCTAAACCCCCCAAAGCACCCCCCCACACTCTCAGTCCTCCTGACTGTGCCAGTCTTTGGACCCACTCTGCAGAGGCAGAGGTGGTCATCAAAGGTATTTTTCTGAGTTCCCAACTTTTAACATCTTTAAAGAAAGGGTTTGGGAAAGCTGTAATAGAACGTTGTGGAGTTCAACCATCCAGAAGGTTAGGGAACTCAATCTGAGCCTTGCAGACCGAGGTCAGTCAGTGTCATGGGGTTCAGCCATCAGCTAACTGAGATCAGGGGTAGCAGAGGCAGGTGGTCATCAAAGGTATTTTTCTGAGTTCCCAACTTTTAACATCTTTAAAGAAAGGGTTTGGGAAAGCTGTAATAGAACGTTGTGGAGTTCAACCATCCAGAAGGTTAGGGAACTCAATCTGAGCCTTGCGCAG